GGTCCCCCACAACATCCTTCTCTCTAAATCACAGAGAGATGGATTTGATGGATGGGCGGTTGTGTGGATGAAGAATTGGTTGGATGGTCACATGCAGAGGCTAATGGTTAGTGGCTCAATGTCCGGATGGAGATCGGTGACAAGTGGTGTTCCTCAGGAGTCTGTATTGAGACCAGTACTGCTTAATATCTTCATCAGTGACATGGACAGTAGGATCGAGTGCACCCTCAGCAAGTTTACAGATGACATGAAGCTGAGTGGTGTGGTTGACATGCCTGAGGCATGGGATGCCATCCACAGGAACCTGGACAAGTTCGAGGAATAGGCCTGTGTGAACCTCATGAGGTTCAACAAGGCCAAGGGAAGGGTCCTGCCCCAAGTGGTCGGGGAAACCCCCGGTATTGATAGAGGCTGGGGGATGAATGGATCAAGAGCATCCCTGTCAGGAAGAACTTGGGGGTTCTGGTGGATGAAAAGCTGGACATGAGGCGGCAATGTGTGCTCGCAGCCCAGAAGGCCAACCCTATCCCGGGCTTCATCCAAAGCAGCATGGCCAGCAGGTCGAGGGAGGTGATTCTGACCCTCTGTTCCCCTCTGGTTAGACCCCACCTGGAGTCCTGCATCCAGCTCTGGAGGCCTCAGCACAGGAAAGACCTGGATCTGTTGGAGCGGGTCTAGAGGAGGGCCACCAAAAGGATCAGAGGACTGGAACACCTTTCCTATGAGGACAGGCTGAGAGAGTTGGGGTTGTTCAGCTTGGAGAAGAGAAGGCTCCTGGGAGACCTTACGGCAGCCTTTCAGGACTTAAAGATGGTACAGAAAGAAAGATGGGGACAGACTTTTTAGCAGGCCCTGTAGCGATAGGACAAGGGGTAATGGTTTTAAACTAAAAGAGGTAGATTTAGACCAGATACAAGGAAGGACTTTTTTACAATGAGGATGGTGAAGCACTGGCACAGGTTGCCCAGAGAGGTGGTAGATGCCCCATCCCTGGAATCCTTCAAGGTGAGGTTGGATGGGGCTGTGAGCAACGTGGTCTAATTGAAGATGTCCCTGCTCATTTCAGGGTGGTTGGACTAGATCACCTTTTAAGGTCCCTTCTAACACAAAGATTCTATTATTCTATGATTCTATGATACTGCATTTATAGAACCATGTAAGCAACCACCCAGGAAGTTATGCTTTTTGGTTTTTTGTATTTTGATGATCCTTTAAAAGCTGCACTGCGACCTGGAGCTCTGGTGTGCTAAGTAGTTTACTAGCAGCAGTTAAATTACAGTGTTGTCCCAGATATCTATCAATCAGGCTGAACGTGTAAAGCAGCAATAATGGGAGGTGAATGCTGTGATGCTAAAGGATAAGTAAGTAAGAAGCTAGGACAGCAACTCATCTCATGGGTCACTGAAAGCAATTGCACTGTAACCATCAATTAACAAACATACCTTTTCTTAAAATGTATTTGAGTTTTCTGCCCCTCCACCTCCACAGTGCTCTGATTGAAAAGTTGTTCTGGACCCTCATTTCCCTGAGGGTTAGGATCCTTCTCCTACTTTCCAGCATAAATTTGTTTCTAGCCAGTTTTATACTTGTTCTTGTGCCAGCATTGTCTTTTAGATCAAAAGCTGCTGCTCTTCCTGATAATCATCTAGTTTGCTCTTTGTTTTTATTTGCATGCTGGTGTGCTTTTTTTTTTTTCTTGCTTAGCTAGTGAGGCATTGTACTGATGGTTAAGAGGATTGAAGATTGTGACATCGGTATCAAAGCCACTATGAGATTATATATACTTATCTAGGTTTTGGCCATTTATCTTTAAATCGGTGCTTTTGTCCCCATCCTTGTAGGAACAAGTGCCCAAAGTTTTCTTCTGATTCATTCTTTAGGAGTTAGAATTTTAGGTCTTTTTCTCTGCTAATACAATGCAGTTTTCAGAATATGACACAACCAACAAGATCAAAGTCATGTCTGCATATATATGAAAAGGTTCCGTTTGGATATGTCTGGATCGTGGAACATGCTGTTTGGATCTGCCTCCTTCTCCGTATGTGTAGAAGAAAGATGGAAAGACCAAAGGCTTTGTGTTTAAGTGCATGTTGATTTTACATGATGTTTCAACTTTATTCTGGGTTTTTAAATATCTTTTTTGACATTTTAATTTTAAGGAAGGAAACACAGCATTGCATCTAGCAGCCAAAAATGGTCACAGAGAAGTTGTAGAAATTCTGCTTGAACAGTGGGAGGAAATAAATGACCTCAATCAGGTAAGGACACAGAAGTTATTGAAGGACATAAAGCTTGAGATTTGAAAAAGCAAGTAAAAATAACATTTTAAAGGAATAAATGTTGCACTGAGTAGACTTTATTTGTTCTGCTGCTTTTCTGTTTGCATCCTGTTTCCTTGCTCCTCCTCCAATAAATTCAGCTCCATTATGTCCTTCAATGTCTCTTTCTCTGTCCTCTGTCCCTCACACAACAGTCTCCCCTCCATCTTGCAAACCCTAACTACTGGTAGAAGGAAACAGGAGGGCCTAATCTCCCCCTTGCTTCCTGTCCTCCAACATTTCTGGCCATGTGATTCCATTCCTTTTACTGGCTCTGGTCAGGCTGTTCCCTGAGGCGGTTCATCATGCATAGCCGGCACGTACCGTCATAGGAACCTCAGCAATGAGGTCTCAGATTTGTACCTTGTTCATCTGATCTCAATTGCCTGGACCAAATTGGCTGCAGCCACTGTCTATGCACTTTTTCTTTCACGGGTTAGTGTTGACAAGTTCAGCCAGCATATTCATAAATCGCATATTAGCTGTGAAAGTTGTATCCCTGAGTTGATGCACTCATGAGCTTAACTTTAAGGCTTAAAGTAGGAGTGGCAGAATGAAATGCACACTAAGTACTCAGCTCGGC